TCACCTGTATTTTCGTTTATGTGTCTTCTTTTTCTAACAATTGAGGATTCAGCTCGTGCTTTACTATTGAGACACATATCAAAAAATACACAGAAATGATCTGACAGAGCAACATTGGCCACATTTACATTTGAGATATTAATCCCTTTAGTAATTAGCAGATCGAGAGTGTGTCCTCTGCTATGAGTGGGGCCACTTACATGCTGAGTGAGACCAAAGGTTTCCAGCACAGAGCTCAGCTCTTTTGCGTATCTATCATTAACGTTATCTACATGTATATTAAAATCACCTATGACGACTAAACTATCAAAGTCTGTGCACACAACTGAAAGCAACTAGGTGAAATGATCAGTGAAACTATGACATGACTGTGGCGGCTTGTACACAACAATAATAAGAATAGAAGATTGTTTTTGTTCTATTTTAAAAGAGACATACTCAAATGAGGAAAATTTCCCAAGAGGTACTCTATGGGAGACAATACAATCTTTAAAAACTGCTGCTATGCCTCCTCCTCTTTTATTTTCTCGAATTTCTGATTCAAATTTGAAATTTGGTGGTGTTGTTTCTATTAAAACTGCATTTTCTGTATTATGGTCAAGCCAAGTTTCAGTCATAAACATAAAGTCAAGATCATAAGAACAGATACAATTATTAATTAAAAAGGATTTATTGCATAGTGATCTGACATTAAGCAGAGCAAGGTTAAAAATAATATCGGTGTCAGTGGGTTTAGTTGATTGATTACAAAGAATTGGAATTAGATTTCCTGAGTTGGACCGTCTAACTGCTGCCCTTCTGTTATATTTGTGTTTATTCAAATTAAAACACATTTCTGAGCCGGTGCGATTTCCCTCAAAGTTCATTGTTATTTTGTATTGGGACACAAAGTTTTCACATTTGATTTTTTGTTTGTTCAAATAGTCTTTAGGGTGACATTTTGCTTTTTACATTTAGAGAAAGCTCATGATTCTCTTCTTTGCTCGTGCTTCGGCTTACATTGTCTCACTTTTTCCCTTTTAGTTTATTACACATTTTTACACCAGATTTATGATTTCATGCTGCAAAACACAAATTTGTCTTTGTTTTGACTGAGACAAAACAATTGTTGCTGGAGCGTTGCAGAGCTGTAACCATGAATAATTCAATTAAACAATTCTTGAGTCAGTCACCAAAGTGAAAGAAACATAGTGAAGTGAATCGTACCCAAAACAGACTTGAGACATTTTAAATAACTTAGTTTTACATTTAAAATAATAACATAGTAAAGAAGACATATGATGCACCATATTTGTCTATAAAAAATTATAATGAGACTATTTACTTTGTCATTTTCATGTTCTAGAATGTGACATAACATCTTGAGTAGAAAATATTTGGTGAAACAAGTATGAAGGGTAAATAATCGACCTGCCCTATCCATATGCCTCCACCAGAGGGAGGTGAAAAATGTGTTTTGTTTTTTGAAAATTACTGCTAATTTAGACTGAATTGTTTTGTTTTAAAAGATTAATAAAACTGCCCAAGGCTTTTAGACATAAGGGGAGGAGTTATGTTTGTGCCTGAAGTTCCTGATATTAGCGTGGATGGATCTAAAAACAACTCCAGACCTTTTTTCTGAATAATGTTGGTACTTAATAAAAGAAAGAATCAGTTTATTTCCATATTATGTCTTTATGCCCTTTAAAACATTTGTCGTAAGACACTACATTTGTCCCAATGGCCTATTTCCAGGTTACCATCTCTGCCATAGAAGTGGAGTGTGCTAGTTGTCCAATAACGCCAGGAAAAGCACACTCAAAACAATTATTCTACCCTGAACTGCACCTTTGGGAGCTAACATTGTTCGTCCTGTTGTGTGGTGAGTTGTTTGCTATCGAGGTAATAGCTCTAAAGAACCTAGAAGTGAGCTGAATTCTAATTCTGCTGTTCGGAGGAGCTGTCTCCAGGTATTGAAAAATAATAAGTGCTACACTCCCAAACTAAAGGCCAGTCCCTGTCTCTGTAAGTGCTTCTAATTACACCGTCTCTATTGGGTGTGCTGCCTGTGACTTCTGCCGCTGTCAGATCCTGATGAGGTTGTTACATATAAACAAATACTCCCAGTGAGATGATTCTTAAAAGTTCAGCCTGATAATTGTAGTGCGATAAGAAGCTGTTTTTTGTGTTCTTTGTATCTACTATTTATTGTAATATCAAAAGCCTTATCTGCTGCATAATTCATCACCCAATAATAATAATAATAATAATGCATTGGTTTTATATTCCGCTTTTCAGGACACTCAAAGATGCTTCAATTGTCATTATTCGTTCACCATAATGACATCCTCCCTTCCAACCACAACCAACTATTCGCACACACACCAGATTATATCTAGGCAATGTGGGCTTTGCCTAAGGACACACAGAGGCACTTTACAGCTGCAGCCGCCCCACTGGGACCTGGTGTTCAATGTGAAGGTCTCCCATCACAGTACAATCCAGGCCCTGCCCTGCACAGCTTTCGAGGTTTAGCTGGAACTGACTTTCGAAGGCCTGGGCCTGGACACTGTTTCTCCAAACTATGTTTCTTCAGCAGGTTTTCATACTGGTTTTTCTCTTCTTCAGAAACTTCTCCTCTTCGTTATCAGAATGAAAACCTGCCCTGTGAGGTATACAGCTTAGCGGAAAGCTCTCTCAAGTTCCTGACATATCTATCTTCTCTTTCATTGGAGCATCTTAAACGACTTTCATGTTTCAGGCTTCTGGCTTAAGGCGTCCCCTTTGGCACTTTGGTCTCTCGCAGCTCTTTCACTTTTCTTTTCATTTCTGAAAGTTGACAGTTCGCTGAGGCAAACAGGTAAACATTGTCTCTCACAGCGGTGGTATATAGCAGATGTCCTCCTTGTAGACCTAAATCTGATCCAGTTTTCTTGATATTTATCTGTGTTTTTGACCTATTTGAGCATGAAGTTGTGTCTTTTTATTGTTGTTTGGCCCATAGTGGTTTGTTACTCCCCCCAGTTGTGTCTATTTACCCAAACCACGTCGCCAAATCTTTTCAGAGCTCTTAAACTTTAAGGCTCTCCTCAAGAAGAACAAAATAAAATGCATTTGCTTTTAAAACTAAATTACTTGTGTCCATGCCTGAACCTTGAGACTCAATAGTGTGGGTTCACTCTTTAGGAAAGAAACACAACTTTGATTTTTTTTATGAACTATTTGTATTATTGTATTATTTGATAGTGATTAGACTCACAAGTCCGTCATTATAAGTCTCTAAGTCCTCGGTTTAAACATACTTTTGTACAATATCTCCAGTGTTTTTGAGCAAAGGTTTTGAGCCTAAATGTGTGTATCTATATATTATCTCTAATGATGATATGTATTACTATTAATACTAACCTTAATCCCTGTAAATTATCATACACATTATATTACAACAGTCAGTGTGTACGTGTGCGTGTGTGTGTGTGTGTGCGTGTGTTGCTTGTTCCCTATGAATGATGTTCAAGCATATTGTGCTTGTTTGAATATTACCATAACCCACTCTTTTATGAGAAAATTATTTGTAGACGTACTGACAACGTAGATGTAGAACTGCTTATGTTTCATGTGTGTTTGTTCAGGAAACACAGCATGGTTTCCAAAAGTTTGAGCTTTTGGAAACCATGTTGTGATTTCACATGAATGCAACCTATATTCATTTTGTGATATTTTTGTATCTATATTATAATTCTATTAGAGCAGTAACATGCAGGTTACATTACAACATCATAATTTAACATGTTCAAAAAGGAGAAGAAGCAGACGTGTTTAATCAGATCTAATCATTAGTTTAATTGCACTTCCTGAAATTTGACTGTTTTCTTCCTTGTGTTGTCTAATTACTGTCTGCAGAAATGCCTCATGAATAGAGGACCAGTTGTAGTGCAAAGTAAAGTAGTGAGGTCAGATCTCTTGTTCGTTTGAGCCCCACTGTGACATGTGTTTAGGAGTTTGTTTCACTGAGTCAAAGGCCAGACTCTTATATCCTTATCGAGGCAGACGCTCCAATAGAGAAACAACAGCAGCAGCAGCAGCAGACTAGCGCAGCTCCCCAGTGTACGGCCTTATTACCCTCAGAAGAGGAGAGAAAAGCAGAGAAAAGGCACTTGGTTGTGTGGCTGAACTGTGTTTTCTTGCTCTTTTTAAGATAGAAAAATGTCTGGTTTTGGGAGATGTGACCGGTTATCTGTCTGTCCTCCTGTCTTGCCTGATACTCTCCCCTGGCTCTTCTTTCAAATAACGTCTCTCGGCTTGGACTGAATAGGGCAAAACAAAGAGTTCCCGTGCCAGGGCTCATGGAGGCTAAAAAGATGGTAACTTTACAAGGCGGACGCTTACTCCCTCTCTAAGAATGGGCCTTGCCTTTTGTGGATATCGCCATGACGGCACAGTAGTGTGGAATCTGAACTGCATTCTGTAGTTTGTTCTGTGGACCCCTGTTATATCTGTATTACTGCTAAACATTATTATCTGAAGAACTGAACGCATTTGTTCTGGCCCACATTGTTACTACAGTATCGATATCTTAAGAATGCGTCATAAATATCTTAAGTAATGACATCTCCCAGTTCTTTTGCTCATTGGTAAATCATATAAAAAACCTTGTATCCTCTTTTTCAATCTGTAGAGACTTAAATTATAAACCGGGTTCAAGGTTCAATTGCCGCTGCCTTGTCTTCATTTCTCTTCAGTCCACCACCAGACAAGCCTTTTCTGAGTCGAGTTTGCATGTTTCGTGTGTCTTTGTAGGTTTCCCCCAGGTGCTTCCCTAACATGTACAAAAAAACATCAAAGCCGAGCCTCAAACATCTAGTGTTTTCCCCACAGGGACAATAAAGTACATCTTCTCTTTAGCTAAGGAGAGCTCCATCAAAAACTGGACCAACACATTATCAAGTTAATTTTTCTATCTTTTTGTACAGACCTGTTCTTGTCTGCTTTTGTTTTTGAAAATTGTCTTTGTCATTTTGCAGTGTGAACAGCCGCGTCAGGAGCCGGCACCGCATGGAGAGCAGGGAAGAGCAGCATAAAGAAAATGAGCAGAGGAGAAGGAACTACAAGGCTACAACCAGGTCAGATGTAAAATGGTCAAAATGTGAAGAATTCTATGTAATGTTTTTCTGTACATTTTAACAGCAGCAACACCGGGCACAAAAAAGTGAGGCGGGATAAGGAGCGGGACAGACGTATAAGAAAGGAGACCAGAGATGGAACAAAGGGAAGGAGACAGTCAAGGAGACATCCCCTGCCCTAGAGCCAAACAAATGCTCATTATTAGTTTCCTAATCGAGTTAATGAGACCCACCCTGCAGTAACAACATGTGTGTAGCCTCGGAAAATACAGCTGTGTTTGGGAAATTTAACGTGTACTAATAATCTGCATTTATGTGATTTTAATTAGAGCTGATCTGTGTAGCACCGATTTGAATGCAATGAGATGTCCAGTATTCTATGAACCAATTTAACTGTACCTGTTTGACAGAAAGAATATTTAAATAAAGAGTGAACAAAAAAATATTGTTTATGTGTTACTTTATGATTTCCCTCACACAATTATAAAAGAAAGACAGAGATAAAAAGGGCAACAAAAAAATTATCCATCTGGCTTTTCTAAATGTACGGCATAATACTGTGCATATTTGCATTTTAGAGAAAATTAGTGAAACTTGCAAGAAATGTTTGGTTTTTAAATACCCTTTTCTTCTTGTTTTAAACATGTAATAAGCTTCCCTTTTGGAGTCAGAGTGTCAGAGTGTGCACACAGTATGTACACGAGCATTTCAGATCAAAAAACGTTGCACTATAGTCTTAATTGTAATGAACCAATGCCATTTCCTTATATTTCTATTAAAGCTATCACTCCATAAAAACTCCAACGGTGCAGCATCTTCCTACAATGGTTTTGTTGTGACATGAAAAAGCGACATTCCACTTCACTGGTCTTTCTTTTCCAATGTCTTTATTGATCATTTAACCAAATGAACCATCAGATATATTACACAGGGCGAAATGTGATTGACAGAGGCCTGACACAAGGCCCCACACCGTCCACTGATACACACAAACCAAGTAAGTTTTTTTCTTAAAAGTAAGAAAAAATAGTAAGGCCTCCACAATGTCACCTAATTATTAAATAGTATTTTGCACGCTATGAACACATTGTATGTATATATAGATATATATATATTTTGTATCCATTTTCTCATCATTGATTTGATACTTGAGCCATAGCTTCTGAAACATTAAAAATACCTCAACACAGACTTCTATTTGGCAACATGTCATCAAGTCAACAGATGAGAATGACAACCACTGTCAGTACAAACAGAATAGAACCTGTAGTCCAAAGCCATACCCAACGACAAACAAGAAAAACATATTACAAGTGCTTGGATCAGTACTTATTTTAAACACCCAACATTTACAGTAAACAAAGTGAATCCGGCTTATGCATACCCTACTACATAACTACTGGAATTGGCAACATGTCGTGTCTCCTGGATGCTGTGTCTTTATAAGTCCAACAGCATCATTTGCGTTCTCACAAATCTGGTCCCACGTCCTTCGCCAAATTGTAGCTGTTCTTCTGAAGTCCTATATCCAGTCGTAGCTGTAGTACTTGTCTAAAGCCATGTCCGTGCTCCTAGCTTAGGGTGCTCCACATTCCTTGGTCAGTGCCTTTGAGACAAAAGAATTGTTTGGCTACAGCAGACTGCCGGGCCACGAGACGATGGTGAGGGTGATTCTGCCTCTGAGCTCCTTTAGAAGACGCACCAATGCTGTGTGGGTCATGCCCCATGTGCTCTGCCCATTCACCTCCAGCAAAATGTCCCCACACCTACGGATATACAAGCAAATGAGGCATATTAGTGATATCAGAGTGGTTTATCGCTGCAGAATAATGTTGCTATGTGTGAGTATGGTAATAAGGTAAGATTAACTAAATTGATAGTTTTGATTTTCTTTTTTTTAAACACTTTTATGACAAAATAAAATTAACAGCTTACAAAATCGGTGTGTGTCATGTTTTAACAGATGAGATTTTCTGGTTGGCCATTTATTATGTTATCATTACAGAATAATGAATGCAACATATACCCCTCGTGCGGCCAAAAACACAGTTGTGCAAGACGGCTCAGGAATTTACTGAGAGGAATGGGCATCTTTATCATCAGGGAGGATACAGAACCTCATCCACAACTTCCACAAAAGACATCAAGCTAACATTGATGTACACACTAAGAAGTGGGGGATGGAAAATTCCAAGCACGGTCAGAGGAGGAGTTTCTGTTGTTTTACATTTTCAAATCAATAAGGAAATGTTTGTTTGACAATACACACAACCACAAACAATGAATACATTTTTTTGTGTAATCACTCATAACCTCAAAATGATATAATAATAAAAGTAATTTCTTCCATGTTATGTAAGTTGTATGTATGTAACCTTTTCCATGTGAGTGTACAAGTTTAGTTTGTTACATGATAATCGCTATACCTTATCCTGCCGTCATTGTAGGCTGGCGTCCCCTCCACGATGGAGCGGATAAAAAAGGATTGATTGCAGTTGACCTCCTCCTGACCGCCGACGATACTGAAGCCCAGGCTGCCCGAAGTGCTCCGCCGCAGGACTATGTCTTTGCAGCAGTAGAGATGCCTGCACAGGCCAAGAGCCAGATTAAAACACTAATCTCCCAAGTCTATCTTCCACTTCACACACACACACACACACATACACACATAGACACACACATAAATCAGTGTAGGTAAGCTGAAGATAAGAGTCCACTGCTCCGACTTTGAACACAGAACAGATTTGACATTACACTGAAAGTTGGGGGCTTGTATACACATCAGTCCATTCAAAAACCCATCTCTGTGAAGTAAACACACTCAGAGCTGTTGGTCCTCAGTCATTGTGCTTTCTAGAAATTGCTATTTGACCTCACAAGACCAGCTATTCACCATTTGTGGTGTACAGCAATCAATCAACAATGTTTCCTCAAAGTCAAACTGGATTTATCAAATTAGTGCAGTGCCCATAAAGCGTGCTAGTGCCTGTGCAAAGCATATGGGGGTTGTAGGTGTATTTAATTTGTTGTTTTGTTTTAAATAAAGTTCAAACTTAATCGATGTGACCCACTTATTAGCTGAGGCACACACAGACAGATATTCCTTGCTGTTAGATGGATATACATTACAGGTTAATCTAATTTCCATCACAGATTTATATAATACTCCTGTGAACAGCCTCTTCATCTTAATCTCGTCATTTAAATGAATTCACTAAAGAAAATGTCCCCATGTTTAATTTTCTTAAACGCTAGAGCAGCACTTGTTTATCGCCATCACCCTGAGCTGACTATTCATTATATGGAAATTGTCTTGCCAAAGCTTGACACTTGCTTTCATGAAGTTGCAAGGATAAAAACGCTATGAATATTTAAGCCCAAAAGTTGTTTTTGTGCTGTTACTTCCAACTGGCCCTGACAAACTGTTGAGATGAGCCCAGCTGGCTGAGGTCACGGACTCTAGACAGGGAAGAGCAAAGACAGCACAGTACTATCAGCGGAGCGCACCTGGGAAGCTGCAGCCATGACACCCAGAGGGGGGAGTAGTCATCGTTGGGCAGCGGGCTTTTGGTGCTGTCTGTGGGTGATGGGGTGAGGCAGGTGGGAAGGGCACACTCCAGCAGGCTTTCTTCTGGCGGACGCATTTCGAGGACCTTGAGCACCACCGGGGAGGATGTATTTTTGAGATTGGCCACTGCCTCGCTCCGCGTCACCCCTGTCAGCTCCACACCGTTCACGTTTAGCAGTATGTCGCCTGCGGAGGGGAAAAAAAGACAAGCTGAAGCCTTTTCTCGCTGTGCTGCCCCCATAATGGCTTTTCAAAGGACCTCTCCAGACACAGGGCTCAGTTAATATTCAGCACCTGTGTTTTAATAAGCTCCCGGTGATGAAAGAGGTGCAAAGAACAACACATGGCACTGAGATGGGAGCGAGAAGCTCAAAGGACTTGTATGCCCGCAGAGGATATGCAAATGCTTCACTTACAACTCAGCAGTGAACATATCGCCAGAGTGTGCTGAGGAAAGTCTGTGTGAAGAGCACACTGTGGGGACATGAGGGATGGCTTCAATATTCAGTCGTTAAAAATTAGGCATAACACAAAAAACAATATTTGATACTGGCAGATATTTAAGAGAACTGCTCAAGCACTTATGCTTAAATAATTTATCAGGATGCCGCTGAAAGTTTGGGCAATATGAAGAAATTAAAATTTTTCAAAGACGCTGATTAAATAATGCCAGTATAATGTATGTACTGTATAATGCCAGTACTGTCTATCCAAATGTTCCTTTTTGTAATCAACTTGGAAAGAACCCGGGTTTATTAATCACATAAAATATTGAATGCATTAAGTCTTGCATGTGCAGAAATGTTTACTTATACAAACCTTATACAAGATAAATTACATCAAAAGTAAATACAAAAAAATATGTAAAAAAACATGAAGGTAAATGTTGAGGGAAGCCAGGTTGCTGTATAGAAAATGTCCTCAACTCACGAGTTAATGTAACAATTATACTTCGGTGCCCAAATTTAGTGTGCACTTGTATATAGTTGTAATTTTTTTCATGCATATCTTAATATATTTTACCTTTTTTTAAACTTGTTTGCACCTTGAGCAAAAGCAAATTCCTAGTTTGTGACTTCCTGTTTCTAACAATGAGAGTAGTAAGGATACTGATGGATATAGATTAAACTACTGACAAAACATACTATCTTTAAAATAATAAATCCTCAGTGACTGCTCTGTCCACGCGTGTGTGTCATGGAACTAGGATCAATTGTGTGTTTTGTAGATTGTTGTTCTATTATTCAAACACATCTCTGCTTCTCAATGCATTCTTCCATATTAGTCATATTAGCAGCTCTTTCCTCTGGCGACATGGAAACTACAGACAAAAACCTGAGAGCGCCTCCCTGGACACGTAATACTGATGATATGCAAATGTTTGTTTGTGTTGACGCTTAACTATGTTCAGCCCAATTTGTGAAGCGCTGAACCAGAGCAGCACGACACGTCTTTTCTGGATGGATAAACTCTGTAATGAAACATGCGTATTTACCATGCATCAATCATTCAGCCTGTTTATTCAACACTCATTATCATATTAATACTATTGTACCATTGTCTGCAAGCCAATAAGTTCCGTGTTAACCATGTTATGAATCCTCAAACAAATAGATCGATTGGTTTTGTGTCTTTTGAATTAGATTGGCATATTATTTATCTCTGGTTGAGACTGTGAACACAACATGGTAAAGAACCTGAGCATTGGCCTTTGGGCCTGAAGGTCGGGGGTTCGAGCCCACCATGGGACCTACTCCAACTGCTCCCACAAATGTCTACTGTCGTTGTGTCCTTGGGCCAGAGAATGAGCGAGAGACCGGTGCCACCCCCCCGACCCAGAAATAAATAAACTAATAAACTAATAAAGGGGTTGAAAATGAATGAATGAATGTAAAGAACCTAACACTATACAATCAATGCATCGTTTTTGAAATAACTTTTCTCATTGGCAGTGATAAGAAATGTGTCTGTATAAAGGAGATGTCCACAACTTACATTTTATTTTAATTGCATATTTCTGACCATGGGATACGGTACAGTATAGTCGCTCCTCTTGGCATACTTGGCATACGGTAAGACTGGCTGGATAGTTAAACCAGTGTATTATCCAAGGAGCCTCAAGGATTGGAATTAATTTAGATCAATCAGGAATCCACCTCAACCAAGTCAAAGAAAAAAAAAAAGATACAATGTTGAAATTACTCTTAGTATTACCAAATTATAGTGTTTTTTCTCTAACAGTGCTTAGTAACTGTTTCGGTTTTTTACGTTTGAAAACAAAGATGTGGAAAACTGCTGCTGCTTTACTGTTATTTTACAGCAAAATGATTTACTGTTGAAATGCAGATTTATACTTTATTCTAGTTGAAATATGTATCCCGCAAATTTGTTTTATACATCTGAATGCCGTACAAAAAATCTGGCAACCTGCTGCCTGCTCCTTACAATTATTCATTGGTGAAATAATTGTTAGTGCAGCTTTAAATAATGAAGTATCTTTTTTATACAGAAAACAACTGTGTGTCAATGTACCTTTGTGGATTGAGCCCTCTTGTCCCACCACTCCGTCAGAGTCCACGTTGGTGACGTAAATGGGCAGATCCCACCCGCGGCTCGACATGCCCCCTGCCACGGTCATTCCCAGGGAGTCGTACGGCTCTTTTGTCAGGGTGACGGTCTTGTCATAACAAGCTGGCTTCTGACAGGCGTCCTTTAAAACAACAAACATCACAAATGAGTAAACCGTTTATGCTAAGAGCGTAATGCTAATGCTATCAGCACTTTTGCGCGGTGAAAATGAATAATTGTATGACCCAATGTACTCACATCAAGGGCGTCTGACAAAAGCATAGGCTAAATTTACATATTAATTACTATGTTTTCTCAGCTAAAGAATCCATACCAGGGCAGTGCAGGATAATGGAGAGTGCATGGACTAATGAATGAATCACCTCATTAGCATTAGTTATCTATAACATAGCAGCTCATGAGACAGCTTATGGCCTCTTCACTTAAATTGGTTGTAATCAAACCAATGTTTTAATGCATAAGGGTGATGTGTTGCAATATTTAGCTTGGTGTCAGGGGGCCAGGGTAGAGAATAGAGGTTTATTTATGGCTTGGGTGTTGGTGAGTCAGATAACAGGCTAACGTAGTAATGAATAACACATGGACACATTGAGGTTGATGGGATGTGGAGCCTCATGCAGCGTGGCTAATGTGTCGCTTTCACACATTTCTCTGGCGGTAACAGGAGAGTGCGGTTCATGGAGGGCAGTGTGTGAGGCCTGGAGACCGGTAGAAAAATGTTATAGATGTAAAACACTTTTGCGTAGCAGTATCAATACATAAAATACATAATTCATTCACTGCTTAGTTGAGCTTTGACTGCCGCTATAGCTGACCTGAGGCTAAATGATGTAAAGTAGTAACTGATTTGTGCCATTGCCAATTGCCTCTCCAATCGATGACAGTTAATTATTCAAACATCACATGAGTGCGGTTAGTCTTTTCCAAGAATTCAATGCAATAGTGGCAGTATTTCGCTCAAAGCTCTAGGGGCAGACTGATAGAAAGGAGGCTGCAAAACAGTGCCATCAGCCCTATAGTCATTCACACACATAGGATTCATACAAAGCAATGTGGGTGATGTGACTGAGGATACAATGACAATTTGAATCAAAGCCACAGATGTTTCACGGTTTATTATTAGGTGAAGAATCTTTGATGGAATATCATCTCTCGTGACGCACGTAAAGAGAACATGTATCAGGGAGGTGAGACAGAAGAACAAAGCCTTGTATCTGGTGCTGTGTGTGCTCACCAGTAACGTTTGCTCGATGTCCACGGGGGAATAAGGAGGAGGGCCGTCCATCGTCCAGGGAGCCTCTTGTAAGATATCTGGAGTTGGTACGCAGATCTGACGGGACACGATAAAGTGAACACGCTCCTCGCTCGCCTAAAACACACAGACAACCAGACAAAGTTCAATTAGGGACAATTTCAAAATAGTTTTACTAAATTACTTTGAAATGTGAATTCGTAATCACAAACTTTCCTGCTAAGCATCTCAACAGACCATGAGTGTGCATTTAGGGTTTATTCTTTTGGAATCAAAAGGCAAGGCAGAGTAAAACAGAAACAGTAACATCCCATTTCACAGAATTAAAAGTGTATGAGTCCTCATTATCTCAACAATGATCCATTATATAATTCACTGGACACAAATATAAATTCAACTTAAAGATATATAACTCTGTATAAGCTCAATACACCCATCCCTATCAGATATTATTCACAAATGCTATTCCTTTTCTCCTATTCCGTGTCAGTGAGCACTTATTCTTGACAAGATTTTAAGAAAATCTCCCTCCTCACAGGTGTGTGTAGACTGTTGGTCCCCTCCTCTTCAATGACCTTGCATTGAACAGGTCTGGGCTGCTCTGGAACGCCTTATACAACAGCATGTTCTAGCTCCCGCCAATATAGCAACTGAGCTGTCTCACAGTGAGTTGTTGCACTGCGAGAAGCAGATGGTGTCACACCAGATACTGACTGTTTTTCTGATCTCCTAGACCCTCCTGAACATCACAGAGTGGCCTTAGATTGTGGACAGTCCAACCCAGTGCAGTATTCATTCATGTAATTAGCATCTTGAAATGCCACAGATGTGAGGTTGGATGGATCGTCTCAGCAAATAATATGCGCTTATTGTCCTATTGAACAAACATATAGTTTTATAATTTTAAGGTTGAGCCCATGAAAAATGGTGCCACAAAAAATAAGAGCTGTGTTTATATTTTGGTTCTGTGTACTTGTATTTCGTCCTCATGCTTCTGGCTCAGTTTCCACTACACTGCCACTCATTACCCTCGTACTCTGGCTGCAGCGTAGATCAGCTCAATTCTTCAGAGACCTCTCCTACATTAGTATGGAGCTGACTCCTGAATTAGCCGGCACAAGCCATTATTGTCATAATTGGACTAATTTTATTTCTGCGCTGCCAGTTCTTAATCTGTGACAGTGAGTGGTCGCTGTAAGAGGGCACAGTGGCTCTTTGGGGACTGAGAGCCAGCCAGACTCTTTAACAGCAGAGTCCCAGAGATCCGGCTCAGCCCACCCCAAAACACAGCAATTAACCATGAGCCACAGACACACTATCGACTGGCATCAGGCGAAAACCCAAAGTACCACATGTCCGAGTCTATAGAAGAAACCATAATTAAATACTATTAACTTCTTGAAGCACAGACACAACACAATTAGTTTGAATCACTGTGATTATCTTTAAGGAACCCCACTGAGAACGCACTTTATATTCTGTCGACATGTTGACTAATGACAACTGTGACCCCTGGACTCAGCAGCAGAGCTGATCATCCAAATTGTGTTCACGATTCATTCATTTCCAGCATGTTAAAACTTTTGAATCCGATTTGATGTGCACCCCACGTGGTTAAGGCTCCTTTTTATCATTCATCAACAAACCAGAAGGATACTCTCCTCTTCTGTACTATGATACTCTCCTCCTCTGTACTATGATACTCTCCTCCTCTGTACTATGATACTCTCCTCCTCTGTACTATGATACTCTCCTCCTCTGTACTATGATACTCTCCTCCTCTGTACTATGATACTCTCCTCCTCTGTACTATGATACTCTCCTCTTCTATACTATGATACTGTCCTCCTCTGTACTATGATACTCTCCTCCTCTGTACTATGATACTCTCCTCCTCTGTACTATGATACTCTCCTCCTCTGTACTATGATACTCTCCTCTTCTATACTATGATACTGTCCTCCTCTGTACTATGATACTCTCCTCTTCTGTACTATGATACTCTCTGATACTCTCCTCCTCTGTACTATGATACTCTCCTCCTCTGTACTATGATACTCTCCTCTTCTGTACTATGATACTCTCTGATACTCTCCTCCTCTGTACTATGACACTGTCCTCATATTGCCTCATGTAAAGTGCACACTGACCTGAATGAGCAGGGCAGCATGCTCCGGTGCCCCGTAGCGCAGGTCGTGTCCATTTATGGCCAGAACCCTGTCTCCCACACACAGCTGTCCGTCGCGTGCAGCCAGGCCCCCCTCCAGCAGGTGGAAGATGTAGACCCCATGCATCTCTGGCCGCCGCACCAGCTTAATGCCCAGTTGCTCGTCCGGGATGCTCTTGTTGAGGACCACGTGGATGCTGTCGTCCCTCAGGGGGTACTGCAGCAGCGCCTGGGCCCCGGGCGGAGACATGTCGTGCGTGTGGCTGTGAGAGCGGTACCGGTGCCTCTGTTCCCGCAGCACGGTCAGGCGCAGAAGCTGGCACGGCTGTTTGAGGATGGCCACCGCGTAGCAGTGAGGCACATTACTAATGTCAATGCCATTCACCTGAGAGGGAACAGAGCAGACTGTTACTCCTCATATCCAAGCACTTCAACAGGTTTGGGTTTGTTTCTTCAAAAATAATTAATGGACACATTCAAAACCATTTCACTAAAATATTTAGTGGAATTTCTACTTTCACCGCAGTCATTCCAGTCATTTTATGTCATTTTTCAAGTGCTAAAACTGTCACCGCTCAGACACTGGACGATGAGGAGAACAGGAAACATCTGTGGTTTAATGGCGTGACTTTTTGGAATGAATAATTCAGGCATATTTGTTCAAAATGGAAGTAACATTATTCATGTTATATTCACTCTTTTTATGAACCAAACCAGATATGAATCAACTGAGTATTTAGTTGTCTCTTTTACACTGGGGACTTTAGTTGGAGTGGTCTCTGCTGTACCTTGAGGATCATGTCCCCCGGCAGCAGGCGCCCGTCCCGAGCAATCACACCCTCTCTGTAGATGTCCTGGATGAGGATGCGGACCAGGGGGGTCTCGTTGCCCCCGACAATGCTGATGGCCAGGGGATCGGAGTCTGCTCTGGTGATCTTAATGCTTGTAACTTCTCCATCTGGGATCAGGTGATGGAGCTGGGGAAGAGCCAGCACTGAGGAAGAGAAATAATTAAATTAAATTCAATTCAATGTATATTTTTATCGCCCTAAATCACAACAGAAGTTATCTCGGAGGACTTAACAAAACTGAATGAATTTGCCAACACAAATCAGAGAATCAAACAGTCCATATATGTTGAGAGGACATCACCACTGTCCTCACAGACCCTCACAAGGATCCAACAGACCCTCCTGCGTCGGCACGGAACAACTCTGAAACCCCAAATAAGCTGAGGTTTATGCTCAGACAGAGAAAACGGCCAAATAAAACAAATGAGAAAGAGAAAGGAAGCTATGGGCCCACAGAGAGCAACAGGACTGCTGCATCTCTCAGGTCACTCCGCGCACTTCTAGATAGAGGGGAAATTCACTCATGTTTGAGAAATTAGTCACCTCCATCTGCTGCAGATCTTCATGGGAAACACTTATTAACAGCTTTTCTCCATCCAATCATTTACATAGCGACTTTCCACAATCGTAAACTTCTCTATTGTACATTATAGGTACAAACATACAGCATGCATCCTCAGCTATTCAAGCTCATGAGTTTAAGGAAATCGGAAATGATTCACAATCTTTAAATTGACCTTCAGAATGCATAGTCCTGAACATCATACAATCATGGTGCCATTTCCATTCATGTGCCTGATTCTTTAATATTTATAGCCACTTAACTGCTAACTGACACTTGCTGGGTCATGATAAAAAGGGCGGCCTATATTTTGCCTGAAAGACTTTACAGCATTATTTCCTTGGTTTCCATTTCATTTTCTACATATGGAATATCCCATTTCTTTTCTCTTCCTGCTTCCTCACCCTGCACTTTCCCCATTCCATAGTCAATATTTTGTCTTTAATGTGGCAGATTGCTCGAAGGGTGGAGCATGCATTTACTCACTCACTTACACACACACGAATAATCCTAGCGGCTGTTATGCAACCCTTCCTTCAACCTCCCTACCTCACCCACTTTTCCTGCCATCAATCCTCTGGGACCAATCCGCGGGGACCTTCACCTTTATTTGTTGCATTTGCATCGGTCTCCCACAACACTCTTCTCTCCCTCTTCTCTCCGCACTCATGCTTTTGTCTCTCCAGTGGCTCAGCAATGAATATTTAATCCTTTACGCTGCTCAGTGATGGCCTGGGAGAATGATCTAGTCCCCCATCGCTCGTCATCCGTTGGCTGTATATTACGCAATTGCACATTCCACTCTTCCCTCAGCCTCAGCACTCTAGGCCATTTTTATTTTCTCAGATGCTTGACTATATTCAACATCCTCTGCTGCTTCTCCGTGGCTCTTATGGATCTAGCACATCACGTGAAGAGGCTCTCTGGGGAGTGCTCAATCAGAGAAGCTATAGTTCAAAGATAGATGGAGGACAGGAGGGAATAGCAGGTAGAGAGAGAGAGAGAGAGAGAGAGAGAGAGAGCGGCCTGAACATGATGGCCATGTGTGGGTGACCTCTGATATATCCAACGCCTCGGGCTAGCCTTCTTTCACGATGTATCCAGTGATGCACCAAGGGACTTACGCAACAAGATGATAAATAATGGACAGAATATATGCTACTGCTACAGCACAGTCTTGAAGCACTATATTGACTCAGCTGCAGATTCTGTGAGCAAAAGTGGTCAGAGAAAAACCTTTTCGATTCAAGAAAGAACATGACAAGCGTTTCACAAAACTAAGTTGAGAAAATGGTAAGGAATCATTTCACTGAAATCCATGAATAAGATTAAGTACCTTTTCAACCATACAGCTCAGTGTATTTTTGAAAGAATTGAAAAGAAGGGTGGGAGGATAAATGGCTGATTTAGTGGACATAACATCTAGACTCTAAATCATAAATTGAAATGACTTTTGATACCGTAACATTTTCCCGTTACGTGGGGATGGGAGGACGTCACAGAGGGTAACAAGTCCTCAAACAGCCCTAAAGTAATGACAATGGTCAAATATGTGTGGTTTATGTTAATGGTCAATGTAGGGATTCAATTCAATTCCAATTAATTTTGTATAGCCCTAAATCACAATAGCACTCGTAGGACTAAACAGGTTGAGTCCTCAAAAACAGATCAGAGAATCAAACAGAAAATGTGACAATAACAGACATATGTATTGCTCCATAGGGAGCAGGATGACTAAGGTCCACAAATGTTCCTAAATGTCCCAGATCATGTCCTTAGAGGGAAAAAAAATTACAAATACAGAAGATAACAAAGATTCTGTCAGTCCAGAGCTTTAATTGAGATGTCCATATAAGAAGGACCATTATGAGGTAAACATTTGTGGTGACTTTTGGCCATATTTATCAAGTAGAAGGCCTTTTGATTTAGTTGTTTGTCTGGTGAAGTGTGTGGTGTCCTACCATCTTGTGGCACGCTGGAGTTGTGGGTGTTGTCCCTCTCCTCGGTGGTCTCATTGCTCACTGCGGTGCCGCTCTTGGTCCTCCTCAATACGCTGAAGGCTCGGTTCAGTCTCCTGAAGGAACGGCTTCTCACTGACGAACGCTCAAAGTTTCTGACTGCGACAAACAGAAGAAAGAAGAGAGCTTTATATACAAACTCAGCCACAACATGCCCAGACATGTCCACGGCCAGATCAGAGCAAAGTGAAAAACATCTGGAAGGACTTCAGTGTCTAGGCCAATAAATATCCTCGACATAGGCATGCATTAATATTATTGCAGAAAACAACTAGTTATAAAGATTTGTTTTGTGTCAATCAGTGTTGCATAGGTTACGTATTTTTTCTTGTTGTTCTATTTCCAAGCAACACCCTAAACCCAATCATCTCTTAATCTGTGTGGGTAAGAGAGTGTTAGATCATGATAACATTGCTTTACTTTGTGCTGACAACTAAAGTAATGATAATGAAGCTGAGGCGGATATTCAGACTGAAAGACTGAGTGCAAATTCTCCCTTTAAAGCCTGCCAATCACACAGCGCTGCAGCCTCGAGCCTCGGCCAATCACAAATCTCGGCCAGCCCTCCTGCCAACCTGTCACCAAGCGGGCAGTTTAAAAGGCAGCCACTTCCTGACAAACAGCGCTTCCTGAAAGTTCCTAACACCCACCACCTCCCCAGCACCTCCTCTGGCTCCCGCTCTGGCTCCTGCTCTGGCTCCTGCTCTGGCTCCTGCTCTGGCTCCTGCTCCGTTTATGCCCCATTCACACCATACTCAGGTCCACCACCAGTGCTTGACCCCAGGAGATCTGAGATCATCTTCAGCTCAATCGATCTCATCGCTGCAAGTGTCACTGCCGGGGTCAATGCGCCAAATAAATAAATCATTTTAATGTATTAATTGGTCTCTTCAGATTGAATTAGAAGACTCATTATTCATTATCTTATTTATCACAAAACTTATACATTCATGTTTACTTTATTTCTTTGTTACTCAATATAGTGCTTATCTGATCCTTTGTAGCTCATTATATTCATGCAAAATCAATGAACCTGTAATGAGCCTATTCATGTCAATATTTGCGATAATGAACAAGTATATGTTACTAATAAAAACTTATTACAATAAAAACTTTATTACAATTCTTATTCCGGTATGGCGTCGTTCGTGTGGCGAATCACAAGTCGGCGATGACGTCCTAAAACATACATTTTGCAGCGACGCTTTGGTTACTTTTAGCTCCGTTCAATTAATCATAAACCTGTGCAGGGAAAGTGGACTTACGTAAAAGCATGTGATGTAACACGCGCAGATTCTACGTCACAAAGTTTTGCCTCCGCTGAGATTTTGTCTGGAGTCTTTTCTTAGCTCGAGGCCGGAGGAGAAGCAGCTCTATGCCCAGTTCACAGCCCTGCTCTGGGGGCATACTCCACTGCAGCGGACCCCCCCTCCCTCATCCCTCCTCGATTTCCCACAAAGCCTTCTGACAGCAACATTATTCTTTGAGAGTCCAGCCGCTCGTGCAGCTGACAGCTTGTTCAGCAGGAGCCGCGCTGGTTGTGGAGAAGATGGTTGTGAAGCACCATAAATAGATGTTAAGGGCTGCAGCGACGTCATTAGGTGTTCTCTCTCTGCTCTGTGATGCCAAGGCCAGGCAAAAGAACTGGATTAAATATAATGTAGCAGAAGGGGAAACAACTGAATCAATAGTAAGTCTCTTTAAACCATGAATCTTCAACCTCTCTGCTGAGAAGGAGATTTTAATGAAATGGAAAAGGGAAAACCAGAGAAATTGTCAAAAACTATTTCTTATTTGAAAGCAGCAATGGACTCAATATACTTTCTCTGACACTAGAATGAGTCTGGTGTGTGTGTGAATGGTTGGTGGTGGTCAGAGGGGCTGATGGCACAGTGGGGGTTTATCACCACCACATATGGAGTTAAAAAATAAAGACATGTGAAGCGTCTTTGAGAGTCCAAAAAAGCTCTATATAAAACCGATGCAATATTATTACTGGCCTAATTGAAGAAGCTCATTGTTTCTAGATGGTTTAGCGGCAAAAGAAAAGCTAGTGCTGAGAAAAAGTCAAAAGAAACCAAGTGGGGGACACATCCAACTTGTGGATAATGGTATGATGAGACCAAAATTAAACTTTTTGTACTGAATACAATACGCTGTGTGATGGAAAACTAACAGTGCTGATCACACTACTCACACCATCCCTGATTTAAAACCTGGTTGTGTCAGTCTAATTCTGCGGGGCTGCTTTTCTTCAGCAGTGATAAGAGAGAAGTGTTGAAGAGTTAATGAGAAGGTGGATGCGGAGAAAAATACAAGGAAAGATTTGAGCTGAAGAAGAGCTGTTGGAATCTGAAAAAGACTGGAGGCTGGGGTGGAGGCTTGTCAAAACTATGTGGTATTTGGTAATAGCTACAAACTGCTGCTGACAAGTCTCATGTGCAAAACCTGGAGACAAACCCAAATGACATATATCATGCATTATTTTTGGCTTTAATTCGTGTCAGTTTTTTTTGTGGTCTTGGCGCGTCAAAATATGTAGAAAAGTGAATGGGCGGTCAATACTGTAGGTCATTCTTAAAGATATATACTGTGGACACAGACCGACTGTCATTGGACATTGAATGAAACCATCCACCTTATCCCATAATTGAAAGGTTTGAAATACACAGGGATTTTGTGTTGCCTAAAGATTCTTTGTAGTTTCTCTGAAACTCCCGCCACATACGGTAAGGACACCCCTCTCCTCCTACTTTCTTCTGTCTGTAGGACTGTGTCTCTGGCCTTTTCTCGTCCTTTGGGCTTTAGTAAAAGACCACTTGGGGTAGCCACATCTGGAAAGTGCTCTCTGAACATGTTTGGTTTCTCTGTTCTTTCCCTCCGAGCTTGTGGGGACCTGGTGGGCTCGGTGTTGAAGCGTTCTAATGACCCCGAGTTTATGTTGTAGCGGATGATTTGAATCAAAGGCCAGGTACTGGTCAGTGTGAGTGGACTTTCTGAAGACCTCAGTCTCTAATTGTCCGTTCTCCAGTATGATGACCTTACAATCTAGAAAGGCGAGTTCACTCTCCTTAGCATCCTCACGAGTGAAATTTATAAAAGGGTCCACCGAGTTAATGTGTGCTGAAAATGGTTCCACTTCCTGTTTCTTTAACTTAACCCATGTATCGTCTACATATCGAAACCAATGGCTTGGCGCTGTCCCTTGGTAAGAGCCCAGGGCTTGTTCCTCCAGTTTCTCCATATACAGATTGGCCACTATCGGAGAGACTGGGGAGCCCATCGCACAGCCATGAATCTGTCTAAAGAAGGTGCCTCTAAATTGGAAATACGTGGTGTTAAGACACATTTCAAGTATTTCACAGATGTGGTCAGCTGTTAGTTTCGTTCTCTCCCCTAGTGTGGCGTCTTTCTGTAGGCTTTCTCTTACAGCCTCCACCGCCTCTGTAATAGGGACCGACGTAAAAAGCGATGTCACATCAAACGAGACCATTGTCTCATCTGTGTCAAACTGGAGGTGTTTGATTTTATTTACAAATTCTTTTGTGTTTTCTATGTGATGGTGGGTGTTACCCACCAAAGGAGCCAGAATGGTTTTGAGGTGTTTAGCCAGGTTGTAGGTGATAGAGTCTATGCTACATACAATAGGCCGAAGTGGAAAGTTTTGTTTGTGTATTTTTGGGAGGCCATAAATACTGGGGATGGTGTCTCCTGGGTAAAGTTTGTAATATAGTGGTTTTTCAATAATGCCCTCTTTCATTAAGTTCTGAAGGAAGTCTATAATCTTTTTCCTAAACCCACTGGTAGGGTCCCTCTTCAATGGCTGGTACGTGTTGGTGTCCAAGAGTAACTGATTAACTTTGGCCTCATAGTCTGAGCTGTTGAGGATAACTGTGCATCTGCCTTTGTCAGCTGGTAAAATAGTTATACTCTCATCCTTTTGTAATGCCAATAATGCTTTTTGCTCATCTAATGAGACATTGGATTGTGGGGGCTTCGCACTTTTGAGTGTGGCAGAGACTCTCAGTCTGAGGGCCCCTGCCTCACTCTCCGTTAGTTTGTTGTTTCTAATGGCTGCTTCTGCTGCTGTGATGTATTCAATTGTAGGAATATCTTTTGGGGTTATTGCAAAACCACACTAGGGGAGAGAACGAAACTAACAGCTGACCACATCTGTGAAATACTTGAAATGTGTCTTAACACCACGTATTTCCAATTTAGAGGCACCTTCTTTAGACAGATTCATGGCTGTGCGATGGGCTCCCCAGTCTCTCCGATAGTGGCCAATCTGTATATGGAGAAACTGGAGGAACAAGCCCTGGGCTCTTACCAAGGGACGGCGCCAAGCCATTGGTTTCGATATGAAGACGATACATGGGTTAAGTTAAAGAAACAGGAAGTGGAACCATTTTCAGCACACATTAACTCGGTGGACCCTTTTATAAATTTCACTCGCGAGGATGCTAAGGAGAGTGAACTCGCCTTTCTAGATTGTAAGGTCATCATACTGGAGAACGGACAATTAGAGACTGAGGTCTTCAGAAAGTCCACTCACACTGACCAGTACCTGGCCTTTGATTCAAATCATCCGCTACAACATAAACTCGGGGTCATTAGAACGCTTCAACACCGAGCCCACCAGGTCCCCACAAGCTCGGAGGGAAAGAACAGAGAAACCAAACATGTTCAGAGAGCACTTTCCAGATGTGGCTACCCCAAGTGGTCTTTTACTAAAGCCCAAAGGACGAGAAAGGCCAGAGACACAGTCCTACAGACAGAAGAAAGTAGGAGGAGAGGGGTGTCCTTACCGTATGTGGCGGGAGTTTTCAGAGAAACTACAAAGAATCTTTAGGCAACACAAAATCCCTGTGTATTTCAAACCTTTCAACACGTTAAGACAGAAATTAGTGCATCCCAAAGACAAAACACCCAGACACAAACAGAGCAATGTGGTGTATTCAATTAAATGTAGTGAAGAGGAGTGCACTGACCACTATATTGGAGAAACCAAACAAACTCTACAGAAACGACTTTACCAACATCGTAGAGAAAACTCTAGTGGGCCACAGTCGGCTGTTCATCTCCACCTCAAGGCCTCCAACCACACGGTGGATGACACAGAGGTTAAAATTCTGGCTCGGGAGAAGAATTGGTTTGAGAGAGGGGTGAAAGAAGCCATTTTTGTGAGGAAACAAAAACCTTCTCTTAACAGAGGAGGAGGGTTAAGATTTGTTTTGCCTCGCATCTATGACGACATCCTAAAAACAACGCCCTAACTTGGGACAAGGTCAGTGACATGCTAATGAGTTAGGAGGGGTGAAACCTGCACTCCACGTGAGCATCCCAGCAGACAATAGGTCTGTGACATGCTAAGGAGTTAGGGTCGTTAGCCTCAGCAGGGTCGTTAGACCTGCTCCCTTCTACATCAAGCAGACCTGAGATTGTTTACGAGTTAGTATCAGGATTAGGGTGTGGCTTACCACACCCATAGGTTATAAATCTCCAACGCGCGGTCCGAGAATTCATTCCCTGAAGAAGTCCCCAGGTTGAGGACGAAACGTCGGGAAAACTTGCTAAGAAGTACAGATGATGGGTGAGAAACCTTCCTTTGCTTTGACTAATCCCTGTACGACTGAGGGCTTACACAAACTTATCCCATAATCAACAAATCAGTCAGTCACATTAACAAAGCCTCTTGTGCTTCTGTATCCCATCTGCGTAATTGGAGTTTAAAAGTGAGTTACGCACATAATTTTGCTTTCAGACACATGTAGAGTGGCATTGTTGAGATGAATTTGCATCTGTCCTGCCTCCCTCCCTCCCTGGGGGCCACCACTGTCTTCTGTCTGCCCCCCCATTTGATCGATCGAGTGTGACCTGTGGGGTATAGGTGGGAGTCAATTTGCTGCTTGCTCTCTTGGTCTTTGTTACCTTTCCGGGTTCTCTCTTGATCTCCAACATATCTCTTCAGGGTATGAATATTTTTCCGTTATGTATGTATCTTGTAACTAGTTAATCTCTTCTTTTCTATCTACTTGGTTTGAGCCTAGTATGTACAGCAACAATTATAATTTCATGATAACAGGCATAAAAGACAAAACAAATCATTGCTCTCTGGTTCTAGAATATGAGGAGGCTCTGTTTTGGGTTAGGGTTCATCAGCTTCTGGTGAGGAATAGCCAAATTGAAGGGAGCAGCCTATCGCGTCACTGGACATTAATTCACACTTTCAGAGGCTATATTTAACCTGTCTCTCCTTCCGCGTCTCCTTGCATAATGCGCTGCCCTCTCTGTGACTTTCCTCCGCTGTTTCACACAGCGGACTTTCCCCTCGGTTTCACACAAAGAGAGCCTCTATGGATTGGTGGAAAAAACAAGGCAGACCAGCTAATTGGCTGATAGGATTTCTATCAAGGATTGTTAGGAGCTACAATGACTGTATACGGGGTTGGATTATAATGACATGTTGGTGTAACTGTCTCAGAGCAAAGGAAACGACTTTGACTTGAATAAGTGACCGGAAAGTGCACATCGATCCATACTATGCCAAACCATGCACACTTTAACTGAGAGCTTTCACACCACTGCACGGTCAGACAAACAAACAAAACAGGACCGACCACACCACGACACGCAGACATCAGTCACTCACACTCACTCTTCTTGGAGCTGGACCGTGCTGCCAAATTGGTGGTGCTCCCTGATTGGCTGTTGTCCTCCATGCTTGGGTCGAAGGCAGGATTGACCAGGCCTGGATCGTCCGACAGCAAAGCCACGGCTGCCGCTGGGCCATCGTTCGGCAATGTAGCGATGGTGAGTTCCGATGTGCTGTCCGTACATTCGCCGTCCTGGGAGCGCCGCTTTCTGTCTGCCGAGAGCCCATAGTGAGATGCGCCTTTACATCTGCAACAAGAGGAGAGAAAAGGACATATTGAATACCATACTGCATATATCCCAAGAGCAACTCAAGGCGATCTTACATGGAAAGACCGGCTATAAGACCATTTGGGACGGACACAGACAGAGTGAGATGGGACGAGCCAAGACTGGACCGAGACTGAACCAGGACAACTGCATTTTGGAGGTTTGCTTTGCTGATGGAAACATAAACTTCCTCTGAGTTATAACTCCTGCTTCCTGCCTCTCATTTCAACAATCAATCAACTATTACCAAACGATGACACAGATATGGCCATGATAGAGCAGATGTAAATAGTACATACAATGACAAATGTAATGCAGAGCATAAATTAACTCCACACAAAGGGCCGTACAACTAAAGCTACACCCCAAACTTTCTAGCAGTGAGTTGGTTTTTTTCCAGCAAGAAATAAGGTAAAATACAAGGTGAAATGCAGTAAGAATTGTTTTAAATAGTGAGGTGAGGTTTCCCATTCGTTTTTATAACCTCATTCTAAAAAAATCCATAAATAATTAAGGAGACCAAATTAACCTCATTGGTCTGTCACTCATTAGGGTTTATTTATTAATTTCTAGACAAATCCATTCTTTCAACTATATCACTCATACTTCACAGATCTCTGAGAAAAAAAACCCAGTTATTATATGCGATTTTATAAAAAGTATAAAACCTTCTGAAGATTGTTTCATAACTGAAATATATTCAGAGGGACTTTGTATGGGCACAGTCGTGCCTGTGCGCTGGTGCTTTCTGCGACAGGATCTGTAATCATACACAACACAGGCCTCAGCGCGGCTCTGACTGTTAGCATCAGTGACAGCTGATTGAATACAAAGGGGAGAAACACATTTATGAGAAAGCCAGCCTGAGTTACTGACATGGCATTTGAATAGATGACAACTGCAGACAGCTTGAGCCCTGTTTTTTTCCTCAAACAAATCAAACTTTCAAGTTCCAGATGTCTTCTGTCTGCCAGAGAGGACACGGCCACAAAATAATTTATAATACATCATTGTGAAGTACTAGAAACTGAGTGTGGAGATTGGAGATGTATGGGAAGTTTGTGAAGTGACTTCCAACATGAATGGCACAAAGATTTGTCAGGCCTTTTTCACAGCAATCAACTCAAACAGGTCTAAACTGACTTGAATCGACTCAGATGCAGTCTTTCCATGGTTCAGTATCAATAAAGTGCTCTGTTGTGAAGCCATGGAAGGCCAAGTGGGCTGCCTTTTTGGGCACCCCATCACAAGAAGAGGCTTTTTGTCTCAATAGCACTGCTGTCTGAGTGGGCTGCCTGCTCCATTTCAGAGCTAAAATCATTTCAACTTGAAGTGGGCTCTACATCTTACTTGTGGCCACTGGTCAGACTCACTGTTGTATAGATATGTGATGTCTCAATCGATCTGAAGCTGCTATTTGTAACATAACGCAGCTAGAGTATATGTTGGTGATGTGTCTCGCTTCACTTAACTGTGTGGTGTTCATTCGGTGAGTAAATGGAGCGCTGTGAAGCATGTCCATGCTGCAACACAGCACTTAACTAAGTGAAGAGGTTGAATGCAGTAATATTTCAATCAGGTGCAATGGAAAAGGGCACTGCTGCAGAGAGGAAGTGTCAGTTGCTATCAGTGTGAAGGACTAAGCACAACACACACTGACAAGTACAACTTAAAATAAGTTATTGCATGCTTTTGTCTGCAATATACTTATGTCCATCATAGTCATGATCATCATAATACATACAATAAGTTAATGCAGTCCCTCCCTCCCTGGGGTCAAACACAGTCTTAGATCAAACAGGTCTCAAAGTACTCGAAGAGCGTAGACCTCCGCCGCCAGATCACCTCCAAAAAGATGTGACTTGCTCATTGTGCCATTAGAGAAGTCCAAATCTTTTTGAGTCATGTGCAATCTAACAAACTAAGCTAAATGAGATATAACAGAAGAAACAAGTCTGATTTTGGCACATTACTACAAAACAAACAACAAAAGTGTTCCAGCTCTCCATACTGCGCATTAGCAGCCACATATTTGGGTCATTTGTAATTTGTTAATGAGTACTTGAATACGCAAATACCAGGCATTTAGACTTCATATTCAGTTTGAATTAATACAATGATTTTTGGGACAAACATTCATTGTATTATGTCTCAGCAGCAGTTCAGCCCTTCAGTGTTGCTGTCTGAAATGTCAGTCGTTCATTACCCATCTTACCCATGGACTTTATGGGCCTTCATGAATGGCATTATAGTTCTATAGCTGTAGGAGTCTGAGAAAAAACAGAGAATAATCCTACAGCCCCAGTAACTGCTTCCTTCTGTTCGTCATTGTCCTGAAATGGCCGCTGGAAAGTTATTGCTCAATAACATTTTATTGAGGCAGTGTATGGTCTCTATGGGAGGTTTTTATGTTTTCAGCTGCACAGGTGAAGCACATGTCAACAGCTTCAGTTTGCGTGGGGCATTTAATTGTAAAACTGGTTCGAATCAACAAACTGCTGAAAGATTGTAGCATTTGCCAAAAACATTTGAAATATTATACATACAGCTCACAGTTTAGTCCCTCATTTAATGTGGTTGGCAGGTGGATTGAACAGTTGAAAAGTCAGACCTCAGACGCTAAGCGTGGCAGAGCCAGGTTAGTGCAGTGATCGGAGATCCTTGGGAATACCAGGTGCTGCAGGGGGTGGCTTTAAAGTGGAAAACTGCTGTTGCATTCTTCAGCAAGACACTTCAACCACATTACCAATGCCTGGTATGTGCGTGAATGATTGGTGGTGGTCGGAGGGGACAAAAGCTCAGATTAGCATCGCTTCTGTCAGTCTCTGAGTGTTGAAACACTTGAAAGACTTCAACTATTAATCCAATTGAACTAGCAACATTTTATTCTAATTTGATCCTGGATATGTTGCTTACTTTTGCATTTTAATGCACATTTATACATCATGGCTGAGTTATTTGCTCCCATTCATTCTCATGAAGCACAGCAATATGTGCTCAACAGTCAGAATCCCATAAACTGGCATAGTTTAGTATCTTCCTTGTTGCCCTAACCCCCAAAACCCTATAGCTACTTCATACTAGACTCCGTCAAAGCGTGGCTTATATGGAACCAAAACACTTTCCTGCTTGAGGAACATGCAGACCACAGTCACAGAGTTCAGATGGGAGAATAATATTGAATTCACCTCCATTCATTAACGTAAATCTCCCAGACCGACCACCCAAATATTTTATGAATACACACTACTCTTTAAGCACACAACCTGTTGCAGATTTTAACACTTTGAAATGAAAAAACATCTTGCACACAAAAACAATGATAGTAACTTTTCAAAGCTGAATCACGGAGAGTGAAAGCAGAAGATTATGATAAGCGGCTGAGCTTTCAAAGCTTCAAACAGGAAGAGGCAGAGCTATTGTTTGACGCCTGCTGTCTCGAAAGCTTTGTCTGCCATTAATTAAAAAGTTGGCGCTGCCCATAAAGCATACTGTAACCATATCATAGCCGTTTTAATGTTACTTTTGAAGTGTGAGGTGCAAGGGGGAGTGAAAGGCAGGGAGGCATGACAAAAGGTCCTTGTCTGTATCTGGGGTGGTCTTAAGAACCGCTGGAGCCGGAGCAACAGACGCAATTAAGTGTGCACATCAAGCAGACGCAGAGGTGCCATGAGGAAAGAAAAGCAAATCATATTCACATTTGTTCTTTTGTTCAAGACTGTGTGTGGAAAATGAGCTAGTTTTTAAACCAATATAATTTCCATTATCCAATTGGCAAACACCTCGACATCCCATTAATGTAGACATATTCTGCTTAATCAACTCTTTCTCTCTTTTAACCCTATTCTAATAAGTTACCTGGAGATGTTTTTAGATACATCCGTGCTAATAGCAAGAACTTCTGGCACAAACAGGGTTAGGGTCCCTTGTTTGTCCCTTGTTTGTCCTTGTTGTGTTTTTGTGTGCTTGTGTTCCTTTTGTGTGTCTGTCTTGATTTGTATTGTCCTTGAATTTAAAAAAAAGTAATTTCTCCAATAGTTTGATGGCATCACACTCAGAGCAAAGAAAAAAAAAACAGTATCGTTCATACATTTCTCAGGTAAAATTACAGCATTTCAAATCATACGTAGTTCCTCTGGTGGTAGCACTGGGATTTACAGGCAGACATTGTTTTAACCTTCATATATATTCTATTATAAGCCTAAGATATTATTTCAAATTCTAAATCTAGAAAAAACTAAATAAATGTCCTTTGAAAAAAGAAAATGCGATAAAACTGTGAAAATGAAGGAAGGAAATGAATGAATGAACAAACATATTACATTATAAGCCTGTTAAGATATTATTTCACATTCTAAAACACAACATGACAAGGTAAAAGTCTCATTAACGGGAAAAATTATCCATTGTGTGTCTTCTTTAAAGTCGACTCTTAAGATCTCCATACAGAACCATCTTATAATTGTTTTCACAATATGTCTTTTTACTTTTTATATTTTTAAGTCTGGCATGCCATGGTGCAGATTTTGTCTCCGGGATTCTCTGGGCCAAAGTGTGAGACTATGACACTATTCAGGACTTTCCACACTCTTTGATTATTGTTTCTCCATCCATCCATCCATCAATTTTCTACCCCTTAATCCATTTCTAGGTCAGGGGGGTGGCAGTCAGTGATCGCCACCCAAGTCACAGAGCACCAGCCCCTCACTGATCCTCTGCAGGTGGTGAGTCCACAGGAGAATGGCTGATCTGTCTGTGAGACCTTAGCCTTGATCTTTCAGCGGGTGCTTCAGGCAAAGTGGGGTTAAGTGTCTTGCCCAAGGACACAACGACAGCAGACATCAGTGGGAGTCGGTGGAGAAGGTCTCATGGTATCATATTTTTTCTATCAGTCAATTTTGGGTCATCGCTAATTGTTTGTTTATTTTCCTTTTTTTATATTTTTCTTCTGTCTCAACATTTCTGTTCAACATAAATAA